GCTTGTTTGGGTTTTTTTTTTTTTTTTTTTAAGATTTATTTATTTATTACCTATACAGTGTTCTGTCTGCATATATGCCTACAGGCCAGAAGAGGGAGCCAGATCTCATGAGCCACCATGTGGTTGCTGGGAATTGAACTCAACCTCTGGAAGAACAGCCAGTGCTTTTAATCACTGTGCCATCTCTCTAGGTTGGCTTTACTCATTTTTAAGAGTATTTTTGGCAGGCCACACATCCCTACCTGAATCTCCTCTGTACGTTTAAATATTATTATGGTATGCCATACCTTGAAGGCTGGTGAAGACAATGATGAACGAGCTCACTTCTAAGAGTAAATTATGGGTTTTAGAATTAGTAGGCACAACAGTAAGAGAGTATTACACACTTACTGTCTTACACCAGCAGTTCTCAACCTGTGGGTCAAGACCCCTTTACCTAAGACCATCAGAAAACAAAGATATTTACATTATGATTCATAATGGTAGCAAAATTACAGTTCTGAAGTAGCAATGAAATACTTTTATGGGGGGGGGTCACCACCACATGAGGAACTGTATTAAAGGGTCACAGCGTTAGGAAGGTTGAGAACCACTGTCTTAGTCTATTTTCTGACTGCATAACAATAACAAAATGTCTGGAACTGAGTAATTAAAAGAAAGTTACTGGGAAGTCCACAATCAGGTACCCACATGTGGTGAAAGTAGAAAGCTGCGTCAGCACACGGTGGAAAGGGCAGGTGGGGATGGATGCCCAGGGAAAGTGGGAAGGGCAGCCTGACTCTAACCAACCACTCAGGAGAATCAATCTGATTCCACAGGAACGATATTCATTACTTCAAATACTCTCTTAAAGGTCCTGTCATCTCTTACATTCATGATCACATTTCAACACGCATTTTGGAGGCAACAAACTACACTCAAAGCACAGTAGTTGTCGAAAGACTCTTACAGTGGGATGTCTTCAAGGCTGCTTACCTTTCACAGTTTAAAGAGTAAGAGATGTCTTAAGTGAGAAAATGTTTTCTTCCAATTCCCTTCTAACACATGGAAAAGTAGTTCCCATCCTTCTAACTTTTCTACTATTCACATAAAGCATTCATTTATCACCAAATCTAATGCTCACTTTGCCTCTCCATTCTCTAGAGATGGTCTTGATCCTCTAAACTGGAGTTCACCCTGTAGCCCAGAGGCTGGCCTGGAATCGTCAAAATGCTGGCCTCGGCCTTCAGGTGCTAGGACTACAGGAGTGTGATAGCCTTGGCTCTTCATCGTTACTCTCTTTTAAACTATTGCTTCATGTGGGTATTCTCTTTCCTTATCACCAGCCTACACTTGTATTCAAAAACCATACATCAAAAGGCCTACATACAGCAACAATTCAAAATCTTTCTTTAAAAGATTTGTGTGTGTGTGTGTGTGTGTGTGTGTGCGCGCGTGCGTGTGTGTGCAGATGCCCAAAGGCCAGAAAAGGGTATTGGATCACCTGGAGCTGAAGTTGCTGGCAGTTGGAAGCTCCTGACTTGGGTTCTAGAAATTATACTCAGTTCCTCTGCAAGAACACAGACCACTTTTAACTGCTGGGCCCCAGGTTCAAAATCTTTTAAGATGAATGAGAAACACGCTCAAGTTTCTGACTCTGTGGGTCTTCAGTGGAACAAGGACCTGCATTTCAGTCTGTGGCTGGGGATCAAGCCCAAGGCCTTGCCCATGTTAACTGAAGCAAGTGCTTTCCTATTTCACCACACTCCTAGCCATCCCCCCCTCTTGGTTTTATTTTCTTCCTTTAGACTCTGTTTCTTTATTATCTCTAGTGGAAGGGAGCACAAGTGTGGAAGGTCCAAGGACACCCTGCAAGAGTCGGTTCTCTCCGTCCACCCTCCGAGAGCAGGGCCTTCACAGGCCCTTACGGTAGCTAAAGGAGCCGTCTAGGTTGGCTCCCCTCACACATGTCTGTCAAGAAACCTGGAGGGCCCTGATATAAATAAATGAGAACCTTAGAAAGGGCCTTTGGAAGGCGCTGGAGCATTCTGGCATTGAGAAAATGAGTTTCAGACAGAGGGAGATTCAAAAAGGAATGCTAGTGTATGGATTTTACCTATTTCAGTTTGTCTGACCAAGGTGACCTAGCCCCAGCTAGAGATGAAGAGCCAAGCTGACCAGATGAGGAGAGCAGCACTTGACTGGCCATAAAGACACCCAGATGGCTAACCAGGCCCACAGTGCACACTGTGGGGATAAGCAGGACCTCTTGGGGTTATTGAGGGAGAGAGGAACCCCATTCAGGCTTTCCCTAAAGGCAGGGAGCAGGTGGCAGTGGCCCCTCCTCTACTTGGTGACCACTGGAGGGACCCCAGCCAGGTCTACTGTTGGATGGTTGTCATGTCTGTGGGAATGCTGGTGTGGCTGAACCCCAGCTCCGGAGTGGGCAGCGTGGAGGACAGCAACAGAAAACCGTACCAGCGAGCTGTGACTGACTTTATGGCATGGTGCAGGGCAGGGAGCAACCCAGGTAGTTCCTGGCGGGGGGGGGGGGGGGGGACACGACGACACCCACTTCCCCTCACAGCACCGCTCCTCCTGTACCTCCTGCACCTCCAGCATCAGTGTGCCAGCATCTTCCACACAGGCATCTCTGGCCGTTCACACTGCAGTATGAAGCGCAGGGCATGTTGTGCTCCTCCAGGCACAGCAAGCTACAGGATATGCTGGGTCCCTGGGCAGATGCCCTTCCAGAAACAGCCAAGGGTCTTCCCAGCATGGACAGCCATAAAGGGTGCACTAGTAATAGAGCAGCTCCATACTGCGGCAGTTCACAGGTAGAACAAGACTATGGGCTTGGAAACCCTTAACACAGAAACCACAACTCTTAAGTTGGGTGTGGTAATCCAGATTTGTAATGCCAGCACTTAGGAGTCAGGGACAAGAGTATCAAGAGTTCAAGGTGGCCAGGGATAGGGGTACATGTAGCACGAATATTAACAGGTCTTATTAATAAAATCAAACCTGAAGCCAGGTACTGGGGTGAACGCTGGAAGATCAGAGAAGGAGAACAAGCCACAGCCACCTCACCTCCCCAATTCCTCAGCTGATCTGTTTCCTCAGACTGGATGTCTCTCAGTTGAACTGTGCTCCAAAGCCTAAAAGCTTAACCCTCTAGTTCCTGGTTTTCACGCCTATACCTTTCTGCTTTCTGCCATCACTTCCTGGAATTAAAGGTGAGTCACCATGCCTGGCTGTTTCCAATGTGGCTTTGAACTCACAGAAATCTGGATGGATCTCTGCCTCCTGAATGCTAGGATTAAAGGCGTGTGTGCCACCATTTTCTGGCCTGTATGTCTATCTATCGGCTGTTCTGTTCTCTGACTCCAGATAAGTTTATTAGGGTGCACAATATATTGGGGGACACAATATATCACCTTTAAATGCTGCACTTTGGAGGCAGAGGCAGCAGGTCGATCTCTGTGACTTCTAGGGCAAGCTGGTCGACATACCACGTTCTAGATGAGCCAAGGCTACACAGTGACAC